ACTGATGGTAAAAAATATAGATAGGTTGGAGGCAGGGTTCTTTTCTTATCTCCACAGGAAAATACTCATCTTCAAAGAAATTAAGGGACCCTGAATATTTCATTACTGATGGATGGACACATTTTGTAAGATATATATATATATATATATATATATATCTTATTAAACATTTCTCTATAAATATGTAGAGCTGGTTTTGAAGTTGGACTCTGGCTCAGTCCCTCTCCAATTCCAAGCCTGTTAGTAAGAGAAAAACCCAGAGTTTCTGGAGTTTCTGTCTCATGTCAAGAGCCATAATATGGAACAGAAAGAAATATGAGTTTAGAAAACATCTTTGCTTTTCTTCATATCTATCATACTTTTCATTGAATATATCTATCATGCCTTTCATTGAATATATATATATATATATATATATGATTAATGTTTAAGTTTTTCATAATGAACAATGAGTTTTTCCTGAAGTGACATTTGAAGTTTCCAGGAAGAAGATGGGGCCCCACAACAACAACTCTACCTGGTTGATATGACGTCATGATACTGATAGTGCTACTACAAGACCTGTTTTGGATACCAGCTGCACAAGACGATCCCAACTTGGTTAGCTGAAATGGTGCACATCTTGTACAACATTCTGGCCAGACCTCCACAAAATACTCAGAGACTATTTGCAATTTTAAAAGACATTGATCTTGAAATTTAACCATCATTTTACTTTCACAGGATCCCCCAGAAAGAACATCGCCCCCATGACAGCTGGAAGTAATTCTAGAGGACGACGTCCCCTCTCCCAGTAAAGTTTACCCCTGGGTTTAGGGACATCATTTAAAGGTTGGGAGGTTGGGTGAGGAATTTTATAAGCTCAGGGATCATTTTGGAAAAAAAAGGAATGATGGGATAATAAATTTATAATTGTGAGTTACTGCTTTTAGACAAATATATTGGTATCGATTCTTGTATATTGATACAAAGTTAAATTATATTTACTATTGTATGCATGCATGTTTCTATCTCTGTTTAAAACATTTTTTATGTATTGACATATATTGTATTGATAAATATATATTGTGTATATTTACCATATTGCAGTGTACATTTCTACCTCTGATTAAGATAGTTATATAATGTTTGTGTATTGATATATATTTACCATATTGCAATGTATATTTGTACAGTGTTTTTATTTGGAGGTCATTATCCTCATTTGTTACACAGTTGTTTATTGTCTTAGTCTTTAAGTTAGATAGATATTGAGAATTATATAGATAAATAGTCATCTAAGTTTGTCATTTATAATTAGACTAATCAGGTTCTTTAGATAGATAGAGATTATACTCAGTATAGATAGATAATCTTCAACCTCTTCAAAGAGTTGTAGAAAATGGCCTTTAATCTAACTCAGAATTTCATGATAGGGAGACACAATTTCTCCTGGCAAAACTGCTCTGTTCCCAAGAGAATGTTGAGCACCAAAGACACTCCACCTGGAGCCTTTCTTTTTGGCAGAACTGGCCTTTGGGCAAAGATATGCCCAAACCTCAACCACTGACAGAGATACAGAGTGTGCATCAATGGATAAAACAGGACTGTCATATCCTGCCAAGACAGGGTAAGATAGTTTTGAAAAGTACCTTGCCTTTAATAATGGTATGTCAGTTATGTAAGGCCTTAGCCAAAGTTGGTTGACTCAACATTGCAAACGAGACTTTGGGTGATTGCCCAGGTAGTCAGTTGTCTCTGTCAATTGTTGCACATTTTGGATATATCTCGTTTGTTAAGTAATATTTATTCCCTTCTCAGATCTTTGACGGAGTATGAGATTATATAATTGTAGTTACTCTCTACATTATTTAGACTCCTTGAGATAGAATGTTTAGCAAAACTTTGTTTTCAATGTTGTTTGTTATATTTATTATTTGTTATTATTGTATATAGTTGTATTTGGTTTAGTTCTGTCTTATTTAGACAAAAAGGGGAGATGTAGGGATAGGTCCCGCACCTTAGGGAGCGTGTTCGCCTCGGGCTAATGTTTGCCAATAAATTTGGCTAGTGTGCTCCCAGCCTTCTCTTCTGCTTTCCTGGTCTCCGCGGGAACAATGGTTCTGTAAGTCTATTTCGGCATTAAAGCTGTATATATTTTTACAATCTTTCTGCATTCCTTTACTCCATTACACCTCAGTAATGGCAGGTGGCCTCACCACAATACTTTCTGCAGCAGACAGGCCAGTGGGACAAAAATGTAGAGAAACTTCAGAATTAAAAGGTAATATGCATCAAACAGACCTAAGAGATATCTGCAAAGCTGTCTACCTGAACTGAGGAACATAAATTCTACTCAGCAGCCTATGGATGCTCATTTAAAATTGACTACATAATGGGATACACAACAAATCCTTACACATTTAGAAAAACTGAAATCCCTCTATGTATCCTATCTGATCACAATGCAGTAAAGCTTAAACTCAACAGCAAATAGTTGTGTGGACTCTAGAGCCACAGAGAAGAAAATTTGCCTACATACAAGTCACAGAGAACCCAGTAGAATATTTTGAAGCTTGAGATATTTACAGCTAAGTCATTGATTTTTTATTTTTAGTTAATTTTGTAAGTTATAAATTTGGACACATTATTTTTAATATAGATATCAAAATGTAAAATAGTATCCTTTTTATATTTTGGGGGGTTTATACTTTTATGAAAAAGAACAGTATATTTTGACACATGACAGATGTTGCCTTCCCTATACTATATAGGCTTATCGTTGCACTAACATCACAATGTCATTTTATTATTTAAATATCTTTAAAAATATTTTTTTAATTATTTCAGTAGGGCTCACAATATCTATCCTTAATCACACAGAATATACTTCAAAAATATTACACTGCTTAACATGCTGTATTAAGATTTTGCAAGCAGTATTATATTCTTAAATTTTATCTCTCATACTTTGTATTGTTCCCATGTACTTTATTTTTAAATATTTTATAAACACTTGTAGTATTTTTGTTTAAGATCAGGAATTGGCAAAGTATGGTCTCTTACCTGTTTTTATATAGCATAGTTATTTTTTAGTAGCCAATAAACTAAAAGTATCTTTTACATTTTTTAGTTGTTCAGGAACAAAATCCAAAGGATAATAATGTGTAGTTTAGGAAAATTATATAAATTTTAAGTTTCTGTGTCTATAAGTAAGATTGTAATAGAATTGTATTAGAATACAGACAGATTTCATTATTCCTATTTCATGACTATTGCCAGTAAGGTGCTAACTAACTATAACAGGGGTCACATGGGCCAAAGAGTTTAGTTTGTATATACCTAGAAAGCCAAGCTTTGGCTCTTAAAACCTCTGGAGGGTACAGGCTTCTGCAGGTGAGAGAGACGGAGAACTAGAAGCAGAGTTGGCGAGAAAACACACAGGCTTCTTTTCTGAGGGATAAAAGTTTCTTCTACTTCTTTATTTTCAGAAGCCCTTTTTACAATACCCACACCAAGTCAATTACAAAGAGAAGGATGTTTCCCATAACCAAAAGTTATTACAAAGTTACTAAATAATCAGCATAAAAATATTTTTCTGGAATAGCTCAACTCCATTATATTTCTTAACCATATCTTTATGAATTTGCTGAAAACTCACACTTAGTTACACATTTGTCTTTTAGACTTTTACATAGGCAGTACTTTTTATTATTGCCAGAAAAACAGGCTACTTCTTTCATTATTCCTATTTTAGAGACTTGTACAATGACCTTAATGGACCGTGCAACTTTTTGTTTTTTAGTTACATGAAGTTATTATTTAAAGCTTGTTTTAGCTGTGATGCACACTGAGCCCATGTACATATTTCCGAGCATCAAGATTAAAAACCCTTGAGCTAGCTTAATTTCTGGGACTCAGTTGTTTTCCTTAATCTTTAACCTAAACCACAGTCTCTGTGAGTCCTCAAGAGAAACTGCTATGTCTTAGCTGTGTGACACTTGCTCACTCCTATTTTCTATCCTCTGCTGCCCCCAGGGCCAACACTATATCCTACTTTTACCTTTATTAATTTTCCCACTAAACTAACCTCTATCTATACAATCTATATAGCTATATAATCCATTGCTAGGTTTGTTAGAAACCCTTAATCATCAAAATTCTATTTAAACTAACATTATTTGTAGAAGGAGCAGCGGGCTGCGTTCCTGCCACCCGGCTCCCAGCCACCTGGCTAGCTTATGCCCCAAAATAACAACATGGAAACTGTATTCTTTTTAACACTGCTTGGCCCATTAGCTCTAGCCTCTTATTGGCTAATTCCCACATCTTGATTACCCATTTCTATTAATGTGTGTAGCACCACAAGGCTTACCGGAAAGATTCAGCATGTCTGACCTCTACAATTCATGACTTCACTAATCCAGAGTAGTTGGCTATGTTTCTAATACCAGGAATGATTTCTTTCTTGTTGAGTGGGTATTAAGTCCAATTAAAGAACTGTTGGTTACTACTAAGGCATTCATGACACTAATTCACCCTTAGGATTATTGTGCCATGTTGCTCATCTTTTTGATTCTTAGGCATCATAACTGGGTACTACTGATAGTTGCCTCCCTCTTTGGGAAGTCTGTATGGCACCTTCTGGTTTTGTGGAAGATAATCCTTGGGCAGAAGACTCTCAGGTCAGTTACAGCTCAGGGACCTCTGAACCCTGTGTCTGAAGTGCATGGTATCTTCAGCAGTATGAACTTATCTTCACCTCCGGGGATCAACCAAATCTTTACCTCTGGGGATCAACCAAGGGCAAGAGCAATAGCCCATAATGTTTTGGGAATCTCCTAGACAATCAACTACTCAAAAGGGGGTTTCTCATGCCTGATATTGAATTTTTTTTACTAGATTTTTGTTTTGTTCTGCTCTACAGCTAACAGAGGAATTGTCAAGTATTTATCCTTTTTGAACTAATAGGATAGGATGAAGAGCTTGTAAACTTCTGTCCTCAGGCAGCTCAGTCTGGTTCAAGAAGTAGTATCAGAATCCTTCAAAGAAGTGTTGTTTAGATGAGTTGACTTCAATGTACATTTTTCTTTTTGCTCAGTTTTTGGCTTTGGGGTCTTAATAACCTGGGTGGAAAAGAAAGATGAAGACTGAGATGTTATTGATCACTTAACTCTCTTCTACTTCCAGCTACTGCATTCTCCTGAAATGTGCCTCCCTTCATATAACATCTCCTCCCCCTCCCCATGTCCCTCCCTTAATCCTTTCACTCTTGAATGACTTTCTTGAAGTCTATCTGCTCCAAATAAATACATGCCTACATAATAAGGACATATACAAAGATTTCTCAGGTCTCTATCTCAAACTTACACAGAGACAGTCCTTATAAAAACACTGATAAGTAGTGGGGAAGAGAGTAAAGCTATGACAATCAGATAAGGAGAAGGGTGCTGTGATGACTTACTTAACTGCCCTGGACTACGGTAAATACATGAAGGGTTGGTGTTGGTACTAATTGAGTCCTGGCCTTCAGCTGTTCTTCCCTGCTAGAGCCTTCTAATTGAAGTTACTAAAAGCTGTGCTTTGCCTAGAGGATCAGAGGATGGGATTTTCACCTGTTGGCCATTGACTGCAGGGTATTTAAGCCTCCGTGGCGCTACTAAAGAGGGGCTTTGTACCAGTGTTTGGAGGTCTGTGTGTCTGTTTCTGTGTGTGTTTCCCCAATCTCCAGCCCCTTTTCAGAAGCTTGCTAACTGGATTCTAACACACAGAGCGCAGACGGGCACACAGTGCGCAGCAGGTTGGACTTGCTCAGAGATTTGTTTTCAAGGTTTTTCAAGTCTGTCTTGACTTACAACTGCATTTGTCAGAATGATTTGTGGAACTTCAGGCAGCTTTCTTTCCAAAAACTCACTGTGGGGTTCAGGGGGGGGGGGGTTGTATGTGTGTCTTTGTGACACCCATGGGTTTATAGCTGGGCATCCTCAGTTCTGTGAGATGAAAATGCACTACATATGAGCTCTTCTCTGTCGTACCCTGTTCACCAGCCTCTTTTCTGCTTTCTGACATAAAACACAAAATAATGTAGTCTTTTGAGAACTGACATTCTTCCATACCTTAAAGAAGCTGTAGGGTCCTGATTTCAACTGTGTTTTCTCTCCATCTTCTGACACTTCAAAAAATACGAGTCTAAGCTTATCTTCTTTCTCGCATTTTATTTTGTCCTGGTTTCCAAGCACCAACACGTCCATCTCCCCTGTTTTGTCATGTATACCATAGAGTGTTCTGTCCTTTTGCTGCTCTGTTATCTGTGAAAGGAAACAACAACCAAGCTCCACTGAGATGACTAAGGAAGAGGGGCATGTAAATCAATTATCAGAAAAGACAGGAGCAGCTTTCCAAAAGAAATATAAGGAGGAATTCCAGCTTCCAAACTAACAGGCTTCGACCTAACCGGTATTAGCAAATGCCAATGGAGGAGGTGGGAGAATCCTACTAAAAGCATGTCCCTTCTGTCCATCTTTCTTCTGTCCATCTTTCTAGTCCCAAGACTTTTTTCCTCTGGGAAGCCAGGATGGCTCAAAGAAACAACTACTAGATGGGGAAAATGGGGCTTCTCCAGGGCCAGTGTACAGGAGGCATAAGAAAGGAAGAGAAGGAAAAGAAAGCAGGAAGGAAATGAAGGGAAGGGAAGGGAAGGGAAGGGAAGGGAAGAGAAGAGAAGAGAAGAGAAGAGAAGAGAAGAGAAGAGAAGAGAAAAGAAGACCTTGTGGTTAGGAGGAAGGTCACTTAGTGACATAAATCCAGAGAGATGCACAAACTAACAATAAAAGATCTAGTGAAGTCTAAAAGTCAGAATATCAAGGACAACATATCATTCACAATCAAATCTGGATTACAATGGGACCAGATACTAATTAGATACGTAAAATATGTACAGTATTTGAGAGTTAGTTTGATTGACTATGTGAATAGACATTAGTGAGTAGTTGACCAAATAGAAAGTTCAAAACTGAGAAGTTAAAAATGGGTATCTTTATGCTTTACTTATTCAAGGAAGACAATTTACTCCTGATACCTTTTCTGACCGAGCTAGAGGTCATCTGGCTACTAGGGGAAGAAATCATCAACATTCCCAATGGTCCTTCAGGATCTGTCTTAGGCCAGAAAATTGTTCATACAAAGATAGTTTCCCTGATTCCCTTGTGGTAGTTTGAATAAAAAAAGCAGCCACAGGTTTATAGGGAAGGGCATTATATGAAAAAAATTAGGCCTTGTTGGAGTAGGTGTGATCTTACAGGAGGAAATGTGTCCCTAAGGGTGGGCTTTGAGGTTTCAGGAACTCAAGCCAGTGGCTCACTCTCTCTTTCTATTGTCTGTGGGTCCAGATGTATAACTCTCAGCTTCTTCTCCTGCACCATGTCTGCCTGCATGCAGCCATGCTTCCTGCCATGAGAATAATGGACAAAAACTCTGAACCTGTAAGCCAGTTCCAACTAAATGTTTTCCTTTATAAAGTTGCTGGGGTCATGGAGTCTCTTCTCAGCAACGGAAACTCCAACAAAGATACCCAGCATCTAGCTAGGATTCTCTGCTAACTCTTCCATTCTCTTCATTCAATACTAGGTCTTCCAGGGCCTGCTCATCAGTCCCCTCGTTCATCAATGAGCACACATCTGAAGGATGCTCAAAGCAAAAGTGACTTTGAAAGTGGATGGTAATAAGTGTGTAGAATCAACACAGGGGGAAATAGCCGTGTCTATGTTTCACAGGTTACAAGGGTAACAACGTAAATAAAAGTGGCTTCAAAACTTTTGCTGGGGGCAGTGGCATGCATCTGAATCAGCAGACAGAGGCAGGGGAATCATAGAGCATGCCAGACCAACTAAAGCTACACAGTATAAGACCCTGTCTCAAAAGACGAAGCAAACAAAGTACACACAGTATAAAACTTTTGTGAGCTTTGCACACAAGTTTTGGCAAATTATTATCCTACAAATCTTTAACTTTATTAAATTGTTTTTTTGATTGTTAAAATTGTTTAAAATCAATTATTTAATTGATTTCAATTGTCCTGTTCTATATAGAGAGAAAAAAATAAAACATAATTTCTAGAGTTCTGTCAAAGCTTAGGATAGGTGTTATATTTTTCATACCAATCAGTATAAAATTTCATACAGGAATTACCTTCTGGACTTTAAACGTCCCATTCACAATTGTTCCACAAGGTTGGGTCTTCAGCATCTTAATTGTGGGAGTTCTTCCAGCTTTTAGCCTAATGTTATTTGGGACACAGACTTTGTGGTCAGCGTCAGCATCAACCACAGTTGAGGAGCTGGTCACCTCCAAGAAGTTACTGTGCCAAAGATAGTTTGATATTTTAATTGTTCTCCTTGGGGCAAATTTATCTTTAAATGGTGCATATAGAACTTTTACGAAGAAAAATGCGGTTGAGTTGGCCACGGTTGCATGGAATATGTCTTCCTCAGTCTCACACTTGAAAGGATTCGTAGTTTTCAACACTAAGACCGCCAGTGGATCTTTCTGTAAACCTTCTCTGATAGCTTCCTGCTCTGCCACGATCTGCTGCTTCTGAGGCTGTGACCACAGAGAAGAGATGTTAGTTATGGGTCAACACTGTAACAGAGGCAGTCTTCATTCAGATAAACCCCAGGAAGCCAGAAAAGACTGAGTTGAAGGGAAGATGGAGAAGTGAGGAAAAGATTAGAGACTTAGAATTATCTAGACTGAAAAAACACAAAATGTTCTGTATTTAGGTGGGGCCATGGAGCTGACCCTGGAGACAGAATTCCTCAGTCAGATTCCTTCCTTGTCATGTAATTTAGGAAAAGAGTGTGTCAGAAACCTGAATCATTGCTGACGCTTAATCTGATCTTGTCTTCTTGTGATTCTATTACAGTGTTCTGAGCATTTATGGGACTCTCGTGTAAGGGTGGGAAGGTTCACTGATGCGCACAGAGCACTCCACATCCCCAGGAATATCCTGTGCACAATAAAACACAGATCATTAAGTGCGAGTAAACGAAGAGATCTGGGATGAGCGCCTGCAGATGGATTAAAGGGAGAGTGGAAATCAGAATCAGCTCTACCTTTGTGAGTTTACTCTTAGAAGCCATGAATTATATACTACGGCTTGCCAAGAAGTTACATCTTAACGTTTGTAGTTATAAATCACTGAAATCATTTAAATCCCCCCAAAAAAGGATTTTGTCAAATAAAATATTGTAACACAACATATAAAATGTTAAGTCTGCTTCATGGGGATAATATAACAAACCATTTTAATTGATTTAACAAAGGACAAAAGTGCATTCCTTATTGAGGACCCACAATAAACTCACTACAGGGATGTTCCCAATGATAAATGGGCTTTCCTCTCCGCAACCAGACTATGGTGATTGTATGCTCATCTTGGATTTTGTTCTTCCAAATTAAGAAAATAAGAGGGATAGGAGACAGTGTGTGTGTGTGTGTGTGTGCAACTTCAGGTGCAGGTATGTGTCTGCTCACGCTTGTGTATGCTTTAGAAACAATGCTATTGTCTTACAAGTAATTAACTACCTGTAAGCAAAGAGAGACACTTAGGAAAAGAGGCCCAGAAGAGTAGATTTTGAACTGGATTTCTGGGAGACCTTGAAATGTGAGCCCAACACTACATCTGATGATCAGCATCCCACACTCAATCTGGTCCAAAGCAGGAAAATGCCAAGCTCACTGAGGACTATTGCAGAACTTTTTGTTTCCAGGCCTAGGAATTCTCTTTGTATCTACCAGACTATACAATATGTATTTTCATGTCTTTGATTAAAATGCAACATTTAAACCTTAGTATTGTTTTCTTGGCAATTCTGGAAATTTCTGAGCCAAGCACAGAGGAAGTGGGTGGGTGCTCTAGACAGAATGGTGGACACACCCTAAACTCATCCCTCTGGAAAATGATGATAATGCCTTCATGGGGAATAAAACTGCATGTGCTTGATGGGTTTTGTGGTGGTTCCCAGCATGCTTCTCTGTCAGGGCTAAGGGTCAAAGACTATCTTCAGTTTTATTCCCTCTGCTACAAAGAACCACTTCCTTACTAAAAGAGCAGGCACATAGTGAGTATAGGGATTGTCGTTTCCATTCACATTGTGACAACCCTGAAGGGCATTCTTAGTCCCTAATTCTCTCACTGCACAGACTGAACTCCTGGTTGCAATTCCACTGAACTTGAAATTCTCCCCCATTCCCTCACTTCCTAAACCTCCTCACAAGATGAATGCCAACCACACCCTAAAACATACTCACTGAAAATGGTCCCTGGCAGAGTTTTCTTCCAGTAGAGGCTAAGATAGCAATGTGTTAGTATGCCCAGAGTGTGGCAGAAACTAGAAGCTTCCAGGCTACATAAATTGATGAATTTGACTGACTTTTCTTTTTGTAATGCAGACAGATCTTTCTTCTCCTGGCCTCGCTTTCCTGCTTTGTATGCTCTGAGCCAAAATGCAGGCTTCCTGAACTGGATGAGAGGGAGAGTCACGGGAGGGGGTCCTCACGAGGACCAAGGAGCTGCCCTGGCCTACCTTAGCCTGAGGACGGACTTCTGGAGAAGAGTTTTTCTTGGAGGATTCGTCTCTGCTGGTGGCAGAGGCACCAGCACAGTTTTCAGCTTGACTTCTTTCTTCTACTTGCTGCATTCCTTTCTTCTTTCTATTTGTCATGGATCGACTCTCAACTGAAAAAGAAGAAAAAAGAGGAGAAGGGGGAGAAGGAAAGGAGGAAAAGCGAAGGAGGAGGAATCAAAAAGAGGTACGTTAACCTAAAATGCATGAGCAAGCATGGCTGAGACATTAGAATGTCATGACCTCTCAAGAACAAAATCAGAAGGGAAACAGAACAGGATGATGGACTAGGCGTTTCCCATCTTCAGTCCCCCACAGAATACAACTCATGACTATCCCCAGACAAGGCACATTAGGGAGCATCTCAGAATGCAAATAAGGTATCTTCTAGAACCATGGAACCAATAATGTCTTGAGGGTAAGAGAACTGTTTTCATTTTCACCATGTTATGTCCCTTCCAAGATGGCACAACCCCACAATTACTATGGTGAAGATGGAGGGCAAAGGGTGAGCCTGTGGCCTTCTCAGCATTAGAGGATTCTTTGTAGAAGGCTCATTTTCATGAGGAACACTGGGAACACTGGCAAGACTGGAATAACGGGGGCCAATTAGAAATAAACAAAACAAGGCTGTAGTGAAGGCTCAGAGGTAAAGAGTGCTGGCTGCTCTCTTCCAGAGATCCTGAGTTCAATTTCCAGCAACCACATCATGACTCACAACCATCTCTGAGATCTGGTGCCGTCTTCTGGCACACGGGCATATACTGTATATATAAATAAAAAATTAAAAAAAAAGAAACAAACAAAATGAAGTGGGTCTCACTGTGACCAGTACATGCACTGCCTTATGGAGTTGTGCAATTAAAGAGAAGATGGTATAGTACTTTACGAGGCATGTACATGCCAAGTGGTGGTGGTGCAAGCCTTTAATCCCACACTCAGGAGGCAGAGGCAGACAGATCTCTGTGAGTTCAAGGCCAGTCTGATCTACAAGAGCTAGTTGCAGGACAGCAGGCTTCAAAGCTACACAGAGAAGGCCTGCCTTGAAAAACAAACAAAAACAAGACAAAACAAAAATGCATGCACACAGATTTGTTGGCTTTGAATCACAGCTACTGCCAACTGTTCACGTAGCCTTAGCACTTTGTGTAAGGTTTCTCCAGACTTGCTGGGTGAGGGTGTATACATTTGCACACGTGGAGTGTGATAACCCTGCCCAGCCTCAGAGCAAGGCACCAGGCTTCCGGAAGGTTATAGGCAATCTCATACACACAAATAACCTTAAGAGGAAACATTTAATCCTGTTGGCCACAGCCTATTATGAAACTCGCCCACTCAGCCTGGGGTTTTACAAAAAAAGGCCTTTTGTTAAAGGCAAGTTTGTACCCCAATATTTCTTCAGCATCTGGTTTCTCCAACCCTAGTGACCACGGAGAGATGGGACTGGGAAGATTTTTGAGTGCAGCCTGAGGTTCAGTGTGAGCCCAAACTGGAAGGAAAGCCTGAGATTATACATAGCTGTGTAGCATTGTCTCTGGCCCTGCCATTCCAAGTGGCCCAAGAGCAGCACCCACAGCCTTTCCCAGTCTCGGAACCCAACTCATGGCCATGCACAACTAGAAGCCGATTAGGGCCTACATCACATAAACTTAATTAAAGATGATTACAGATGCTAGCCAGCAGCTCTACCTGACTGCAACGACATCCAGTTAGTGACCTCACTGGACCATGCAATGTATCCTTATTTGAGCACAGGACACAAGCAGTAGCCTGGTCCAATCGGAGAACCTGAGAAGAAGGTGCTCCCCACAGCCGATACCAGCTGACATATGCAAAAGCACAGCTGGGTGAAAGAAAAAGGGAGGATGAAGAGGAGGAGGAGGAAACGAAGAAGTAGAAGAGTAAAGACAAAAAAATTGTTACCGCTTTCTCTTCCTCAAATGTGCAGACACCAACCACGAAATGAAGAGACCCAAAGTCTGGACCATTCAGAGCCCTGGTGTAGTAATAAGGGCGGCGGGGCTGCGTCCCCAACACCCCAGCCACCTGCTTAGCTTATGCCCGAAATAACAACACACAAACTGTATTCATTTAATCACTACTTGGCCCATTTCTATCTAGCCTCTTCTAGGTTAATTCTCACATATTAATTTAGCCCATTTCTAATCATCTGTGTAGCGCCCCTAGGTGCGCTTACCGGGAAGATTCTAGCCTATGTCCATCCTGGGTCGGAGCTTCATCGCGTGCGTCTGCCCGGGAGCTTGGAGCATGGCGTCTCTCTGAGGCATCTGCTCCCGAGCGGAGAGCTGTGGAGTCTGAGCTCACTTCCTCTTCCTCCCAGCGTTCTGTTCTGTTTACTCCTCCCACCTATCTTCTAACCAATGAGGGCCAAGCAGTTTCTTTTTATTTAACCAATGACCTTCCTCCATCACCCTGGTTCATCTGAACCAGCGCAAAAACCATGTAAGCCAGGCAACAGTGTGGTGTTGTATTTAAAGCAATGGAGAAGAAACTACATATTTGCTAAGGAAGAATATTTTACCTAGAAAACTCTCCCTCAACAGAGGGAGAAGTGGGCGAACAAGATGCCTCGGGGGTAAGGGCATTTGCCACCAAACCCAATGACCTGAGGTCAGCCCCATGTCTCCCTTGCTGGAAGGAGAGACCTGAGTCCTGCATGCCAATTTCCAGAGCCTAAAGGAGCTGCTGATAACCATTAAGAATTAAGGGAATATTAGTAAAAGGAAAAGCAGGTTGTTAAGTGAATGACGTATTCACTTTTCAGCAATGCCCCCATAAGGCAGCTGTGTGATAGATCCTGGGTACCCAGGTCAAGGATTAGGTTTTATTTTATTCTGAGACAGCAACTTCTTGTCCTGATTTTGATGTGACCATCTATCAAGGTGGCCAGTGTTCAATTGCTTAAGGGACTCACGAGAAAAGCATGTCTTAAGAAATTTTGCGATGTGGTTTCTCACAGAATCTGAACCATTCGGAATGTTGATGGATTTGCTTTTGCTAGAAATCAAATGATTTAATGAATATAGCTAGCAGTAGAATGAGCTCTCTAGTCACATAACAAGGTACTCTGTCAGTATATCTCAGACAAAAGAAGGTGTTGAGTCTTGGTCAGGGATGTTACAGAGACTCTTTCAGGCATGTCTAACCCAGGGTCTGTGGATCACAAGAATTCAGGGTATGTCTAACCCACGTTCTTTGGGTCACAAGAGCCCAGAACTTTTCTACCCCATGGTCCATGGATTACACGAGCCCAGGGCATGTCTAACCTATGATCTGTGGGTCACATGAGCCCAGGACAACTCTGAATGCAGCCCAAAACAAAACCAAAAACTTAACTTAAAACATTACTAGATTTTCTTAAAATACTTTAACTCCATTTTTCTACTAGGGAGTATGAACGCTGTAAATAATGTTGGCAGGTGAGTGATGTCAAAATGGCTGGAAATGCTTACAAGAACTTAGGCTGATCTTCCAGTGACTAGCTCTATGAAATCATATTTTTTCTTTTTCTGAGAAACAAGCACATGAAAACATTCATTCTATACTGACAGTATAGAAGAGGAGAAAGGAGAGTCATAGGATCTCAAGGGAATAAACCCATCACTCTATCCCACCGCACCAACCACACTGATCTCTTTTAAATGTCATTCATAGTGTTACTGCAGAGACATTTGGCAGAGCGTCACCTTCCCACTATATACTCATAATTTGATGCACACTTTTCATCTGTCTAACTCATGGTTATATTTAAAGAATTTGGCTCGATTTGCTTGGCTTTATCATACTTATGTGCCCTCATAATTTTTTTCATCAGCTTTCCTGTTCAAGCCTTTTCTCATAGTCAGAACCCTGTCATTCTCTAATGATATTCTTTAACGTATTCAAATATCTCCATTTTTCGTGATGGACACTTACCAGAGTAAACACTAGGTGGGAACTTCTAGGAAAGAACCCAGAAATCGACATTGCCCTAACGGCCAGAGGCATCACTGACAAACCTGTGCTGTAATTCAAGTGGGCTTGCAGATGGCTTCACACAGAGCTCTGAAGGAGTATAGGAACTAAAATGACTTCTAGGTCATCAAGTGGAGCGGTCAGTCACTCCTGGCTTTCAACTAGTTCTCCCAGCAGGTCATTTAGAGCTAATCAAACTGATAGAATCCCACCAACACTAGACACAGTAAAATGGAGGGGGGGGGGAATGAAGGGGGTTTTATGTCATCCTAGCTAGAAAACAAAAATCAGGAACATGAATTGATGGAGAAGGTGGTAAAAGAAATAGATAAGGAAGTATCTACTTGGAGTAAGTATGTGTTCTTACTGCCACCCTGTGGTCAAATGGAAGAACTACATATTTCTTCTAATTTCAGGCACCCTTTGAAAATAGTGTTTAGCATCATCAAACCTTGCTCTAAGTTCCTCAAAATTACTTAACAACTTATATCTGTATGGAACTTTAACCTTCCTTCGTAAGTTAAACTGGATATAAATATCTATTGAGAAGTCAGGTCACCCACGTGACAAGACACCCTTCTTCTCTGCAAGCTGTTAAAAATTTGCAACTTCTGTATTACTTAGTGTCCCCAAAGGACTGCTTCTGGAATCTCTCACTTTAGGGAGTCTCTTGATGAGGCACTCCTTTGTCAGCTCTATTAGCTATTTAAATACAAAGGATTCACCAGTTATTCTTAGGAAGCAATTGGGACAAAATGCATATAATTGAAGGAGACTTGGTGGCGGTTTATCGAATACAAACACGTCCTTTGTATCCTGGAAATTCATAGTGGCATCTATTCTGGGGATGTGTAAAGGTAGAAACTCCACGGACTCGAAGCACATGGGCTTCCTAAAGGAAGACTGACTGCGACTTTGCAGGCTGGCTCAGTACAGAAGTGAATAGTCTACGGCCAAGGGAGGCGATTTTCTGGCTTGTCTGCTCTAGGCGGCACTATGCTGATATTATTGTCAGGCCCTCAGTGAAGTATGAAAGCCTTAAGTACCATGGAAAGGGACCTTGAACACTAACACTGCCATCTCATGTGCACAGTTTCTGCAAGTAGATTGGAGACAATGGATGGCAGCTCTAAGTGCTGGCAACAAAAATGCCTGAGGAAGTTGCAACATAATTTTTAGTGCCTTTCAGGCAAGGAGGTGAAGGGACCGATGGTTGGTGATTGAGCAAATTAATGCAACTCTGGGTGCTTTATCGCTCTTGTATAATGAAAGGAGGGGCATTTCCACATACCTTTTTTCTTTTGCTCCTGAAGACATTTTGCGGCGTGCATGTAATTCAACTTCCGGAAAAGGTAAATGGTCTTTGTCACTGCCAACTCTGGGCCTGAGCTCTGAATCAGCAGGTCCGCTAACTCGGTCCTGTTTGTAGTCTCACCCAGTTGACTCCTAGAGATCTTAAACTCATCCATGACAAAGTACTTGAACCGTTGCAGTTCCTTTTCGGTGATTTCCTCCAGGCCGGTCAACAAGAGTATCTCCCTGTATTCATGCTCCATCTCACAGGCGCAAGATCAGCCTGAAACAAAACCTCAGCCACAGGATCGCCGCTCGCCAAGCAAATCTACATTCAAGATAAACGAGGTGAGTGAGTGGTCAAGAGAAAATATCCAAGATGGTCCCTGTGCCGCAAGAGAGAACTGGGTGAAATATGAAAAGCAAATCCCAATGCAAGGTCACTTATGTCGGGAAAGGACAGGACACCTTCACAGGGCACGTGCTGCGGCAGGTATTCTTAAAGTCCTGTTCTGTGTTCCTGTCCCCTCTCAGGCACATTTGTTGAGGCGTGTGACATGTGACACAGTGTACATACTTCGGGCATACAATTTGAAACTTTGACATACATATACATGAAATACAATCTACCAGTTAGTTCACTAGTAGACCACATTTTGATGTTCTGTCTTTTCATATTTCAAGATCAAAGTTTTTTCTCCTGTGTTCTTCTCTAGAGATTTTAAATGTCACCTATTAACGTCTGTAGCTATGACCTACTTTGGATTTTTTTGTATGTGGTATGAAATGATGCGAGGACCCTATTGTTCCCATGGCACGAATTTTCCCATGATCGCATTAGAAAGACCATGTCTTCTCCATTTACTGTTATCAAGAATCACCTTCTCAAATATGAGTTGGTCTAGTTAAGGACTCTTTCCCCTGTACAATAGTTTGTCTCTCTGTTAATTTAGGATGCATGTGATACTTTGAATGGGAACAGTCAATAAAATGAAGGTGTCAACCTTGTCAATTCATATTCAAACTACATGTAAAACCTCAAAGAGAACTTCTAAGGAAGAATCTAAGATCTGCTTGAAAAGGTAAGGACAATAACATTCAAAATAATTAAAATAGTCACCAAGAAACACTATGCTTACTACTTATAAATTCTTCCATAAAGAAGTAATAATTAAGAAAATCAGATCATAAGTAGAGATAAGTCATCATAAAATCCGAATCACTTCTTACACAAAGAGACATGGTGTGGAAATAACGTGGGCTCTTGTGCGTTGCTTGCACACTGCGTGAAGATGTGTTGCTCTGATTGGTGAACTAAAATCTGAATGGTCAATATCTAGGCAGTAGAGGCTAGTCAGGGTTTCAGGAAGAGCTAGGAAGAGGAGCAGGAATCTAGGCGTGTGGAATCCATCAACAGACTTGGAGCAAGTCGGACATGCTGTCCTGAGAAAAGGTAAAAGCTACATGGCAGAATTAGATTAATAAATGCAGGTTAATTTAAGTTATCAGAGCTAATTGGGGACAAACCTAAGCTAAGGGCCAAGCTTTCATAATTAATAATAGTCTCTGTGTTGTTAGTTCGGGGCTGGAGATCCAAAGATAGTCTAACAAGAAAACTCAATACAGTGTATAGTTACAAAGAGACATGGCATGGAACCAATGTATATAAATCTTTTTTTAAAAAAATGACCAGCAATGAGAAGGTTTCAGAAAAAATATGTGGGGAGTGATACCATTTACCCTTCATCTCATATCACAGACAAAGGACAAACTCACTTGGATTAAATACCTAAGTAGGAATAGTAATACAGTTGAGTAAAACTGGTTTTTTTTTTTTGACTTTACATCGAGGAAAAAGAAAGTTTACTAAACAATATACACAAAGGACAAATAAGAGAGACAAGGCTGTATTAAATTTCATTGAATTCATATTCTAAATTGTTTTTTTAAATTTTTCTCTCATATATTATATCCTGACTGCAGTCTCCCCTCCCTCCTCTCCCCCAAGTCTCTCCCAGCTAAATTTCCTCATAAGAAATACAAAGAAAGCATTTTTTAAAAAGCCCCATACTGCCTTGAGTGTCCATAATTAATAAACACTTCGTTGTCAGAAAATGTGAAAAAACATATATCTGCAAGAAAATTATCTACAGCCTTGGTGAAAAGCAGTCAAAACATATAAATAAACAATGTACTCTAATAGCTGGTGAAGACGTATAGGAATGTGCTTGACAATACTAATTAGTTACTTGGGAGAAAACCAGGTAGAAGAAATATGACCAAGAGAGGGTGTCATGAGAGGAAAACAACTGGCCAAAGACCTGGAGGGTCCCCACCAGTGCAGCAATGTCCCTGAGCTCTAAAGAGCTCACCAATGTGGCCTTCCTATCATTGTTCCTGGTAAAGACTGGGCAGGCACACAAGGGATGGAATAGCTCTGCTTACATGGGTTGTGTTCATACACAATGCCCGAAACTACCATCAGTCTCCTTTGCAACACAAGAGATACACCTGACATAGCCACAGTGGTAACTCTGCACCAGTGTGCCCAGTTCTTCTGATAATATCCAGGAAGGACATCTCCACTGCCTAGTATAGGGAGCATGCTAATCACGTCAGCGTGCTTCCTGCATGAAACCTTCATCTTCCTAGACCCCTCTTCCATAAAAACATAATCACATTTTATATGAAAAATTAAGACACCAATTTCTCTCAAGGTTAGTTCTCTTATTTGCATACAATTTGCATTTTATTGCATAAGACGTCCACTCAAAAGGTTTTAAAGTATTTGTTTGGGACCAAGATGAAACTCAGTAGCAGAGCCCGTGACTACGAAGCAGAGGCTCTGGGTTCAGCCGCAAGCACCACAAGCAAACAACCAGTGGGTGGTATTAGAAGGCAGATGATATACAAAGGAAATGTGTTCAACTCTGGCTAGCAGCCTTGTGGCCATCAGCAGTCCCAGCTGCAATCTGACAGTGCTGTGCTATGCACAATGCATACTCAAAGTGCTTGCACAAGGAGCCTAGAAGACGGGAAGAAAAGCAAACATATAGGTAGGATTGACTTATCTCTAAATTGGGGGGATTCTTGCCACCTCACAGAAGTGGCTGGTATGGCCTACCTGGAAACTATCAGCTGCTCATCAGCTGTAGGTTAAGTTTGGTACTCAAGGTGGGATGACTTGCCTGAGGACACACAAGGATGCGTAGATGGGCTGGCCTCCAATCTTCTAAACCCAAGCCCTCTGCCCTTTCTTTTGCTAACCGCCTTCATATTATTTGGACAATGTGCAATAACACCTTTAATTAAAGAAATTATATAATACACACACACACACACACACACATATATATGGATGTTTTGGGGTATGATTTGAAGACACCTATTCTTTAAATACCTGTATCTAACTCTCTGTCAATTTTAATAATAATATAATAATTGCCATGCTTTTCCCTTGCTTATTCATCTCTCTTCATAGTGTGTCTGCAAAGCTGAATTCCATCCTCTATAGATGTCTGTTCAACCATCCCTGGGTGCACTTTATGACCCTGTTCCTCTCTGCTGCTGCACACTCTTTCCTTCTTCTCTCTATTTGTCGACTTAGCAATGTGGTACTTTTTTTTCTTTGTGTTCTAGTTTATATTCTGCGCTGGAAAGAAAGTGGCCAGTGGGCAAGGACTCTGTTGCTCATCTCTGCAGCCTTCGCCCCTAAAACAACATCGGGGATCCGGCGCGTTTTCACTAAACATGTGTTGAGTAAGCAGACTAGGTTTCTCCAACTAAAACCACAGCTCTAGACATCTCCATGCTCTGGGCTGTACTCGGCGTTCACTGGGTTTGACTAAGAAGCAAATTAAAAGATAGTAATACAAGGTGGCAGCTAAATAAGGACCCCTAGCAACCATCTTCCACAGGCACACAAGCTTCGATCAGCTGGTCACAGTCCAAACCACCATCCTAATACCTAAAGACGCCAACCGAGAGACCAATGTGTCTGGATTCCATCTGATAATAAGAAAAGACACATTGAAAAGACAGAAAGGAAATATTTGTCCATGCTGAGACTCATTCAAGTCCATGAAGTGTGGAGCCCAGAAGGACAAGGAATTAAGTTCAGGCCTTAGACTTTAAACTTAGTTCCAGGCCATCACCAAAAAGCACAATGCCTGCAAGAATTCTTTAACCTCTGCCCAGGATAGACTGAGCCACCAGAACTGTGTTAGCCAGATTGTTGATTTCCTTTGCCACTCCTCCTTGGATCTGGGTAGGGCAGAGGATGAGTGGAGAGGACTCTACCCAAAGACAACAGAGCACAAAAGCTAGCCCCAAATTCTGCTTCCTGTAATGGGAACTAGTGGCAACCAGAAAGTAAAGGCCTTTAGAAGCAAGCCACAGCTCACAGATGAAGCCTCCAAACTGGTACTGGCATTAAACAGCATGCCAGTGGGGCAGACTCAAGTTCGACTAGATTGTTGCCAGCCTTGAAGCGGGTAAAGGACACAATCCTACTCAGACTACAGAGTTTTCTCTGACTGTGAGACTCACGTGTGACCCAGTTTAGAGGCACCCCAGGTGGACCCTAGGCTTGGGCTTCAGCTATCTTCAAGTCAGTCTTAGCAGACAGATCATCAAGACGTGGCTATCACCAAGCAGAGACTTAAGTCCCACTGGGATGGAGTCCTATTTTGGCCTGTGGTTCTACTGATCTGCATAGACCTGAGTGCACTCAGAATGGGGGAATCCACTAGGAAAAGGGGCAGAGAGAGAGAAACAAGTCAAAGCTAACTCTTTGGTCACTGCCAGTCACAGCTTTAGCGGCCCTCTCAGGAAGTAGCTTTTGAGGGAGGCAGGAAACGATAACACACTTGTGTTCCGGAAGCTAAGAAAAGATCCTTCTTAAAGGAAACATGGGACCAACTGTGCCTCTTCTGATTGCTCGTTTTGTGTAATGCTAGGCAAGGTGAGGACTGCAGATCTGCTGTGGAATTAGTCACGTGAGGTTAGTGGTGGCATGTAGAAGGGCAGGGACGGGAGGATGGAAGGCAAGCCCAACTCTTGCTGTAAAAGAGCCAAGGAAATGTGATTGAAGACTAGGGCAGGGCTGGAAATGGAGAAAGTAATTTTCTCAAGCTTATTTGTTCGCTTGCTTTTCTGCTATGGGAGAAATTAGGCTGGTTTCATGCTGATGAGAAGGATCTAGAAGGGGCTGGCGAACAGTGGTATTAGAAGAACAAAGGGGAAACTGCTCATGTGAGTGAGC